TTGTTGCCACTAAACTTAAGGGTCATGCTCTAATTTGGTGACAAACTTTACAAAATGACCGGTTTCGACATGGAAAGGAAAAATACAAACATGGTAAAAAATGAAGGAGAAACTACCTGCCCGTGTTGTTCCTTCTTATTACAAGCAAGATGTATATAAAATGTTTCATCATCTAAAACAAAAGGTAGACCAAAGTGTGCAAGAATACACTGAGGAATTCTACCAACTCTTATGTTGAGCTCAAGTTCCGGAAAGTGAAGAACAATTAGTAGCTAGATAAATTAGTGGGTTAAAACCTATGTTACAAGATGAGCTTGCATTGCTACACATATGGGACATGAATGACGCCTACCAAATGGCCTTAAAATCTGAACAAAAACGGAAAAGGCTTTCTTGTCAATTGAAGCAAGGGAACCCATTAAAGGTTTCAAAAGGTAAAGTCAACATAGGCACACCACGAAATTCAAGCTTCCGAAAACCTCAAGTAGGGAACTAGCAGACTGCAACACCTCAAAGGTTGTTGTTAGAAACCCTTCTCACACTTGTTTTAGGTGTGGAGAGATGCACCATAGGGCTGTTGAATGTCCAAAGAAGAATCTACATCGTCTAGACCCTATGGGAGGGGATGAAGTTGATGAACCAAAGTTTGATGATGACAAGGATGGTGATTCTTGCCCTTGGAATGAGCTCCATGCCAATGAAGGAGAGAGTTTGATGATTAGGAGTGTCCTGACAGCCCCTAAAAGCGAATCTACTGAAGGCTGGTTAAGAACAAACATCTTCTGAACTAAGTGCACTGCTTATGGCAAGATATGTAGCCTAGTCAGTGACTATGGGTCTTGTTAAAACATAGTCTCTACTGAGATGATAGGAAAATTAAAACTTAAGACTGAAAAGCACCCACATCCTTATAAAGTTAGGTGGTTTAAAAAAGGGGGGTGAAGTTCCAGTTGACAGAAGGTGCTTGGTTAAATTCAGCATAAGGAAGCAATATCAGGATGAAATAAGGTGCGATGTTCTTCTTATGGATGCATGCCACCTCATTTTAGGAAGGCGATGGCAATATGACCGTGGTGCAGTACATGATGGCCGACAAAACACTTACTCATTCGTTAAAGATGGAGTCAAGCTACGTCTTTGTCCCTTACGAGATTCTCCTACCCCTCAAATTTTCAAAGACAAAAATGTCAACTTGTTATCTTTTAAAGCTTTTATGAAGGCAAAAGAGGATGATTTAATTTATGTATAAGTAGCCAAAGAACAAAAAGGAGAGGAGCACAATGTACCCGAAGGTGTGAAAGACCTACTTAATGAATTTGCTGATGTGACCCCTGATGAGTTACCAAAGGGTCTACCTCCAATGAGGAATATCCAACATCAGATTGACTTAGTGCCAGGTTCAAGCCTCCCTAACTTGCCCCACTACCAAATGAGTCCTGTTGAGCATCAAGAGCTTCAGAAGTAGGTTCATGAGCTCCTTAGAAAGGGATTTATTCAAGAAAGTATAAGCCCTCTTGTTGTTGCTGCCTACTGACACCAAAGAAAGATGGGTCTTAGAGGATGTGCATAGACAGTCGAGCCATCTACAAGATCACTGTCAAATGTCGGTTTCCAACTCCACAGCTTGATGATATGCTCAATGAGCTAGCTGGTTCAAAAAATTTCTCAAAAATAGATCTACGTAGTGGATATCATCAAATTCATATCCGCTCATGAGATTAGTGGAAAACGGCCTTCAAAACAAAAGATGGACTATATGAGTGGTTAATAATGCCATTCAGGCTGTCGAACGATCCTAGCACATTTACGAGGCTAACGGTACAGGTCATGCGCCCCTTTATGGGAAAAAATTGTGGTTGTATTTGTTGACATCTTGATCTATAGCAAGAATGAAGAAATCCCATAAGGAACACCTAAGAAAGGTCTTTCAAGCCTTACAAGGAGCAAAGTTATATGTCAATTTCAAGAAGTGCTCTTTTATGACAGACCTTGTAGTCTTTTTAGGCTACATAGTATCAGTTGAAGGGATTCATGCAGATCAAGATAAAGTTAAAGCCATTGTGAAGTGGCAAACACCAAAATCTCTATCAAAAGTACAAAGTTTTCATAGGCTGGCCACCTTCTACCACCGGTTCCTTAGGAATTTTAATTCTATTATGGCACTAGTCATTGATTGCAAGAAATAAACAAGGAGGGAATCACTCAACCTCACGTGGGAATAAAAAATCACCACCTGGAAAGGAATCTCTCACTCTCAAGAAGACTCAAGACAACTCTCAAATTTGTGTTGCTAGAATGGACCCCTTTGGGTGGTATTCATAGGCTAAGGAAGATATTTTCAGAGAGATTATCAAGAAATTTCTAGAGGAGGTTCCTAGATACTTCTTTAAACAATGATTTATTGCTGGAAATTTCTAGAGAAGTTTCTAGGAAACTTCTTAGAATAATGATTTAATTTGTTCTAGGTTTCTTTGGAACCTTCGAGAATATTCTTCTAAATTTAGGGATGCATCAATCAACCCCCTTCAAGAACTCATCCTCGAGTTATTGACCACGGACCTCCATATTTCCATATTAGTTTCTTTTAATTGCTCCTCTGTCAGCCAAGCGTCTTTAGATTCAAGTTTGTCTTTCCACCGCACTAGGTATTGAGTGAGGTGTCCTTGACAGGTCATTGTATTTCGGGTATCAATAATGTCAAGAATACACTCATTCTCTTGCATAGGTAAATTTTCTCGGACCTCGTCCCAACTGATAGTATCAGCTTCTCCATGATATTTGAATAAATCTGAAATGTTGAAAACTGGGCTCATCCCTATTCCTTTAGGTAACTCAAGGCGATAGGCATTTTCCCCAATGCGTTTCCAGATTCCACATGATCCTATCTTCCAGTGTTCGAGTTTATTATATTTTCCTGCTAGAAAACCTTTCACGATGAAGGTACACTATAACCGGATACCCTTCATTAAACTCCTTTGCTCGACGACTTTTATTAGTATCAACTTTATATTGTTCATATGCCTCGGCTAACTTACGATGAACATTGTCATGGACTTCTTTCGAATGATCAGTCAGATCAGTAGCATTTGCACTACAACAATGAGGGTTTGATATCGGTGTCACATCCAAAATGTGCAATGGTCTTTTGCCCGTTGAATGATTCTTTGAACTGTTATAAGCGAACTCAGCTTGTGCAAGAACAGAATCCTGAGACCCTAATCGATCTCCGGCAAGACTTCGAAGGAGACTTCCTAAGATTCTATTGACAACCTTTGTCTGCCCATTAGTTTGTGGGAGATAGGCACTACTAAATTGTAATTGAGTGCCCATGAGTCGCCATAATGTCCTCCAAAAGTGGCTAATAAATCTTGCATCCCTATATGAAGTTATGGTTTTGGGCACCCCATGAAGCTTCACAACCTCTCGAAAAAATAGGATTGCAGTCCGAGTAACATCCGTTGTATTTTTACAAGGTATGAAGTAGGCCATTTTAGAGAATCGATCAACAAGTAATATAGCCCTTGTCTTGTTATCGGAAGTCCCACCACAAAGTCTAGGCTAAAATTCCACCCAAGGTTTTGTAGGCATGGGTAGTGGGGTGTATAAACCGGTGTGCATCCTTTTGCACGCTGACAGGTCCCACATCTTTGAACAAATTTTCCACAATCTCTTTTCAATTTAGGCCAAAAGTGCTTTTCTTCTACATGATCTTGAGTCTTGTTTTGACCAAAATGTCGCCCTAGACCACCTCCATGCAGCTTAAAAATGATTGTAAGTTTAAGGGAACACTTAGGTATACAAAGGCGATTTCCTTTGAATTAAAAAGCCTTCATGGATCATGAAATCCAGATAGGTCACTTGAGTCTGGCATTTCTTTAGGATTTCTTGAAACTAGGGGTCATTTCATTTTTTTTTTTTTTGAGAGTAAGGTTAACTTTTATATTGCAATGAAGAGTTGGAGTCATTTCATGATTTTGAGGTAAATTCTCAAATCCACCCACCTCATATGTGAGACTCTGAAGAAGATAGGTCCTTCGACTAACTGATTCATCCCTAAGTCTAGAAGAAAGATTCTTGAAGGTTCCCAAGAAGCCTAACACAAAATTAAATCATTATCCTAGGAAGTTTCCTAAAAACGTCTCTTAAAATTTTCAGCAATAAATTATTATTTAAAAAAGTATACAGGAACTTTCTCTAGAGATTTCTTGATAATCTCTCTAGAAATATCTTCCTTAGCCTATAAATACCCCCTAAAGGGATCCATTCCAGCAACTTAAAATGGAGAGCTGTCTTGAGTCTTCTCTAGATAGCGAGTGATTATTCTCCAAGTGATGAGTGATTCCCACGTGAAGTAGAATGATTCCCTCCTTGTTTCTTTCTTTATTATAAAAAAGGGCTTTCTATTAAAATAAGAGGGTGAAGTTCCATTTTATTGTGCCCTATTTCTCAGTCCTTTACCTTTAGAATACATCAAAAAATATACCAGAGCAGGGAATATGCATTTTCTTGGACCATGAAAAATGAATCAAGGAAGCTTGACCATGAGATCCTACTATTGAATTAGGTCATAATTAGTAGAAATGTTAATTTTGATTAATCACTTGTGCTCAGTAGGAGTTCAGCACTACAAAAATGCAGAAAGACAAGATCTTGACCATGATTCACAGTTCTGTAATGCTGAAACCAAAATGTTTGTCCACCCAAAAAAAAAAACCCGGTTTTGAATATTGAAGTTCAAAGGAGAGCACGCTCTAAAAGTTTCCCTTTATTATCTAAACAGAAAGGAACATTTGACCCTACCAAATCAAACCACAAACCACAGATGACCACCAAACAATTTCAATGTTGAAACGCAAGAATGTATAAAACTCATAAGCATAATTCATCACAGGAAATACATGGGTCCATAGATCCTAGGAGGCCCCTAAAGAGAAAAATAAACCCAACAAATTCAATCCATATATAAGAAGAAATGAAGAAGAAGATGACGTGGGTTGTACCTCATTCCACCTCCAACGGCCAGAGAACTGCTCACATAACCACCACCCTCCTTTATGGGGCCTCTGATTTTCTCCATTACGATCCCTTTTTCATTACTCAAGTTCTCTTATTGCGTCTCTATTTGTATGGATCACTCGGGAGTTTCTTCTTCCCTCTACTTGGAAGAATCCGTAATCTCTCTCTCTCCCTAAGAGATACTCCCAAGAAGAATCCCTCTCTCTCTCTCTCTCTCTCTCTTGCTGAAATCTCTCTCTCTTTCTATCAACAACAGAGGAGAGAGCGACGGGTGTGGACCAGCAAATCTGTAAGAAGAGGGGCAAAGTACAGGGACCATAGAGAAAATATAGACAAGTTACCCGAACACCGTCAATTTTAGAATAACACGATTGCCCGAACGTTCGGGAATTGGGTCGGTCGACCCGGCTAGATATGGACCTAGATTTTGGGCCCCATGGATCGAGTTTTGGTTCCATTGACCTTGACCCAACCTAGATCGGATCCGAAACCGGATCAAGTTCTGGGTCCAGCTTACATGTTCTCGTGTTGGATCAGGTATGGAGCTAGGGCAGGATCGACCTAGCCCCACCGACCCATACATATTAGCATAGAAGCATATTAATAGTATTAATATATAATATAAAAATGAGAAATGTTTATATGTGACCCATATAAGTTAGGGGTGCGGTTTGTATAGAGACGAGGCTCTAAACAATCAAATTGGAGCTTATCTTCAAATAGTATCGAGAAAAGTGATTTCAATATCGGAAATCTTTGTGATAGCTTTAAAATATATTTTCATCTTTAATTATAAATTTAAAACTTCAAAAATAGTATAGATCGAGCAGATCTATGGCATCTTGAACACTGATGGTCCAAAAACGTGCTACAAGGTGCACTATTTCCAATACTGGAAATCTATTTTTTTCTCATGTACATGCATCTTGATGTCGAGATGATCAATTTGAGGATTAATGGGCACCAAAACAACCTTTTCTAGTGAAATTTGTGAGGTAGGCTCTAATTTGATTGTTTAGAGCCTCGACCCTATATAAATTTTTTCCTATAATTTATATGTGACCCTACTTCTTTGCCATTCGATTTGAATCAAATGACCACGATTATTCATACCACAATGTCACACCAAACACTGTCCTATTTTGCATTTTTTATCTACAAAACATTTTGGAATGAAGTTTTGGGCGTCCCATCATAAAATTAGGGCAAATCTGGAAAAAATAAAGAACAAAAAAACAAATATTTTTTTTAAAAAAAATGACCAAAATACCCCTAATTTTTTTAGGGGAATTATGCTAATTTTTCGTCACCAGAAATATTTTTTGTTATTTTTATTATGTGCAACCCTATCATATCTATACATGCCCCAAATGTTTTTTTCAAAATTATTTGTAGAATAAAAATAGAACATAAAAAACCATGAGTCGGATGATCAAGATCTGACAGTTAAGAGCTAGCTTGTGATATTGTGACTCAAGCCACCTTAGCCATCTACTCAGATTTGACGGTTGATACCAGGGGTTACATATATTATATGAGTAATGATCCTATGAGACCCTTCCACACCCATGTGTATGGGACCCCAAAGGATCACCATTAAATTTGCACAGATCTCTAGAAAAGTTATTATATGGGTGTGGGACTTGACTTTTTTAAAGATCTATGCCCAATTGAATGGTAATCTTTTGGGGTCATACACACATGGGTGTGGGAGGGTTTCACAATGTCATTTTCCATATTATATATGTGGGTTGGATCACATAAAAAGCTTTTCTAATATTAAATACGTATTATATATTTTATATTTTTAATTTATAGACCCAAACCAGACCCTGCCTAACCTGGTGTGTCGAGACAAGGTCCAATTGACAGACTCAAGTCCAACTAATGACTAATCGGGTCTTGTCCAAGTTGAGGTTGTCTCAAACCCGATCGACCCATTCCCACACCTACCCGAACTCTAGGGTGCATATAAGGTGGGCTAGCATTAGGATGGGCTCGCCTTAGCATGGTCTAGTCCTATGTGGCCAACCTGAGCCTAGCCCGGGCTAGGCTGGTCAGGGAGGCCCAAGCCAAGTCCGGGGCCATCTAGCCCATTGTGGCCACCTAGCCCATTGTGGCCACCTAGCCCATTGCCGGCCTTGGCATACTATCTACAATGCATCAATTGTGTATAGTGCATGGTACACCATAGAGAATCCACCGTCCTCTATAAATGCTATATAAATGATAGGTAGGGGTGCAAATTGGCTCGGACCCGACCCAACCCAAATTATACATTTAAGAGTTAACTCCATTCGACTTGGGTTGCCTTTCTACAACGTACCATTTTACATGTCACAAGACCCTTCATTTTAGTGCTCTTATTCTAAAGATAGGGGTATTGGATTTAATCTCAAAAACTATCCCAGATAGTAGGAGTGGATCACAGGTGAGAAAATTCCATTTGCAATTCAGACTTCACCTATATCCCCTTCCCTTAAATTAAGGAACAAAAGGGTATTGGTGGCCAAAATTTTGGGAATAGGATTTTCTAATATCACTGTTAATGGCCTATTGTGGAAAATTCCATATATCAAACTTTACCTATATCATCCCTTTCCTAAAATTAGAAGTAATATAACTTTATACTATAGAAATAAGGTGCACATTAAAAATCCTATTGAGAAGAGTGTTCCGAAGTTGGAAAACTCTCCAATTGATCATGTTAACTGAGATGCATAGATATAGAGAAAATAAATTTCAGTCTTAAAAATATTACATCTTGTATCAAGTTATTTAGACAATCTATTTTCAAAATTTCCAAGTATTTATAGATTTGCTTTATTTGTATTTTTTAAAATTTTTAAATTTCTTAATTCGGGTTACATCATTTTTCATGCTATTGTAAGATTTCTAAGACCGAAACTACATCTCCCAACAAAATTTAGAGGTGCACCTTACTTATACAGTACAAAGGTAGGCCCCTTAAACAAGGGACAGCTTTCTATACTTTTATTTTTTGACAATGTTATAGAATTTATTGAAGGGAAAAGTTTATCTAAGGTTGCAACCTTAAAATGTAGAATCACAAATGCACCTCAAAAATCTATCGGAAATGTTGTTTTAATGTTGAAAAAGCTCTCTAATCAATCATCTCGACGTCGAGATCTATGAATATAAAAAAAAAATAGTTTTTGAATCTCGGAAATAGTGCATCTTACAAAACATTATCTAGACCGTACATTTTCAAGATTTTCATATATTTATAGATCTACTTGA